GATGGGCGAGTACCCGATAGCGCTTTCATCGTACGAAAGATCACATGAAATTCAGAAAATAGCTCTCCCTCCGAATCATCCCTCCTTGGCTGCTTCCTACAACAACCTCGGTGTGGTGTATTTTCACATGGGCGAGTACTCGAAAGCACTTTCATCGTACGAAAGATCACTTGAAATTCGAAAAATAGCTCTCCCTCCGAATCATCCTGACTTGGCTTATTCCTACAACAACATCGCTTCAGTGTATGATAACATGGGGGAGTACTCGAAAGCACTTTCATCGCACGAAAGATCACTTCAAATTCGGAAAATAGCTCTCCCTCCAAATCATTCTGACTTGGCTGCTTCCTACAACAACATCGGTATGGTGTATGGTAACATGGGCGAGTACTCGAAAGCACTTTCATCGTATGAAAGATCACTTGAAATTCGAAAAATAGCTCTCCCTCCGAATCATCCTGACTTGGCTACTTCCTACAACAACATCGCTTCAGTGTATGATAACATGGGGGAGTACTCGAAAGCACTTTCATCGCACGAAAGATCACTTGAAATTCAGAAAATAGCTCTCCCTCCGAATCATCCTGACTTGGCTGCTTCCTACAACAACCTCGGTGTGGTGTATTTTCACATGGGCGAGTACTCGAAAGCACTTTCATCGTACGAAAGATCACTTGAAATTCTAAAAATAGCTCTCCCTCCGAATCATCCTGACGTGGCTTATTCCTACAACAACATCGCTTCAGTGTATGATAACATGGGGGAGTACTCGAAAGCACTTTCATCGTTCGAAAGATCACTTGAAATTCTAAAAATAGCTCTCCCTCCGAATCATCCCTCCTTGGCTGGCTCCTACAACAACATCGCTTCAGTGTATGATAACATGGGCGCGTACTCGAAAGCACTTTCATTGTACGAAAGATCACTTGAAATTCTTCAAAAATCGCTCTGTCCTACCCATCCTCATTTGGTACTTGTGAAAACAAACATTGAAAAACTAAAGAAGAAATTTCAGCAATTTGTGTATTTTTCTTCGCAAAAATAAACTGCTGAAATATTGTTTTTTTGAGGAGTTTCATTAAGTTTTGTCAGATGCTGAAACAGCATCACATGGCGTGTCCACCAGAGGAATACTCTAGGTCCCAGTTACATTGCGCCGCTTGACAGTTGTTAGAACGATTGGACAAACAAAAGCCGCACAATATGGAGCACGAAGTGCTTGCCAAAAAATGTATCACCCAGAATCTTATACATTGAGTAACAACTGAGTGGACTCCCCGAGGTTATCTCGGTACGGTAGTGCCGAGCAATTTGTGTAGTTTTGGTGTAAATGTCAAAAAGAAGATTAAGAAATAACGGATAGGGTAAGGAGATGCTCGCTACTTGTGTTGATAAGAAGGATTCCCAGCGTGCTCCGTCACTTCAGTTTTTGTGGATATCGTGTGAATGATCATCTTCTGTTGGACCGAGAGGAAACTTAAGTGTGTAAGGAGATGCTGAATTACATGGAATGGTCAGTTAGTGACTCGATAATAAAGAAGTATAAACCGGTTGGGTCAAGAACGTGTTGCAGTGCGGCTGTGACTGATGGAGTTTGCAGTTACTATTGCCGTTGCGTTCGTTGCTATAAGGATGATTCAAAGTCATTCTGTGTTGATGAGAAATGCTGAAATCTTGACATATGTTGCTGCTTTGAGCTGCCTTAGATTCCACGCATTTCAAGAAATTGTAATCTCTATTCTTATTTGGGACTCGATCCCTTTTTCCGAAGCTAAATTGCAACATAGAAAGCTGATTAAGGGTATTTCATAAAGCAACCTTTGATTCCTGTCAACGATGAAAGGACCTAAACCAATGCCTGGTACCATATTAAACCCAAAGCTTACTCGACAAAGCAGTCTCTAGGAATATTTAAATTGGCTCGTCGAAGGATGTCTGACATATTGTATCTTTCTTGCATTCCAGTAAGGATCCAGGAAATAATGCACTACAGTTCCCCGTAGGCGTTATGTACTCTTTCGACACCCTAAGTATGGAAAATACAACCGAAATATACTTTTAATATCTTGGTAATATATGGACATAAAGGAAAGAGAATAAAGACTTACCCTCAAACTTCATGTACTTCCATTTCTCTCCTGCATTTCACAATTTCCAATGCATTCCTAGTGCGGTCTAAAGTTTGCATTATCTTCTAATATGCGCGATGTAGTTGATGTACAGGGTGCGTAAAAATGTTTTTCCAGGGGGGTGACTCTACATTAACAAATAGTAACC